TATATATGCAGCTGTTAGATCATTTTGGAGAAATCATTGATGAAAAGTTTCAATAACTTACATTATATGACAAATTTCAAAACTTCATGAGGTTTGGATTGCAAAGAAAATAAATACCGTAATATAATTTTTTAGTAATGCAACTGTCCAGAAGGTCCTGGATACATGTTGGAATGCAGAAATAAAGAATCACGTGCTCCTCTTCCAGTGTTTTTGGCTCATCCCACTCGATTTCACGCCATTGGACAATTTTGGTAATCTCCGTCGCTGATTGGTTGAACCGGCTGTCTGTTTTCCAAACCCGGAATCATTTGAGGAAGCATCGGTGTGTTGGCATTTCTGAACAGTTTGGCTCAAAGTACATTAAAATAAACACATTTTCCTTTATTTTTTTTGCTCTGAAGCTGTAGTCACATTATCCGGAATGCAGAAGTACCTCCTCTGAGCTTCGCGCCACGGGTTTTATTCGATAAACAATAACTGAGTAAGTGTATTACACACGTTTGTACATCTGCCTGTAGTTATCAGCTACTAAGAATGTTTTTACATTTTGTCAAGAACCATCCACAGCAACTGTGCTTTATAGCTACGAAATCTGCACATTTTACTAAGTCTAACGAATACCGATTTTTCTCTGTATATAATACTGTATATAATACAAATTATAAAAATGAGCTGTATATAATACAAATATACTGTTTTTTCGACTAAAAATGCTGCCAAATTGATAAAATACTGTTCTCCGATTTCAACTTTGGTTCTTCTCTTAAAGAAATCTAATAAAAGGATAAAAGGTCTGTTTCATTGAAACAGTTTTAGATACATTTTAAATCCTAATTATTGTCCTAATTAATGATAATAAATATGTCAGAAGCCTCATTATTTTGTCATTTTCTGACATAAATGTAACGCTGTGTTTAAAAAATGCGTCACAGTCAAACATTATTACCATGATTTTCACCTATCACTGCTCTACAGCTTTAATTGTTAACTTTTAAATTCTTACTTTTACTATAAGAAATTTTGATTTTATGTGATAAACTTCCTTCTTGTACTTCCTGCAATAATACAAAACAGGTACTTCTCCATGTTTTGTTTCTCTCTCTCTCTCTCTCTCTCTCTCTCT